AACCCTGAATGAATAGACACAACTCCACAAGTTAAATTTTCGTAAGTAACATTTCGAAATCCAGCTTCTTCTATCATTTCCTAAAACAATACTTGAATGAAAATTCTTGCTTCTAACATAAATGTTACTATCACTTCAATTCATTTACCTTAAAACATTCTTGTTTTGGAAACTTTCTGATACTTTCAACAAGATATTNAACCCTGAATGAATAGACACAACTCCACAAGTTAAATTTTCGTAAGTAACATTTCGAAATCCAGCTTCTTCTATCATTTCCTAAAACAATACTTGAATGAAAATTCTTGCTTCTAACATAAATGTTACTATCACTTCAATTCATTTACCTTAAAACATTCTTGTTTTGGAAACTTTCTGATACTTTCAACAAGATATTGATAAGCTTGCCATTCACCTGCTATAAGAGTACCCAATACTGGTATCATTTGAAACGAATATTGATCGTAAAGCCTATGTAAAAATTTTATTTGTTAGTATAATCCTACAATCCAAGATAAAATAACTAACAAGTAATTACCATCTTAAGGCATCATTGTTTACATGGCTAAACTCTAAACACATAAAACGACCACCTGGTGTAAGTACTCTGTATGCTTCGGACAGAACCTAAAAGTATTTTCATTTTATATTTGTAACATATTAAATATAGAGAATCTAATCTAACTTAATATTGTATAATTATAATGGCCATTACAATTAATATCAATAGATCATAATGAAATTTGATTCACCTTATCAATATGTGTAACATTTCTTATACCGAAAGCAATTGTATAAGCTGTATATGAATCATTAGCAAAGGGAAGTTCCTCTGCATTGCATTCCTCCCAATCAATTGCAACACTATCTTGATTAAGCCAACCTTGTCTTTCTGCTCTAATTTTCCCTACTTCTAACATATTCTCATTTATGTCACAAACAGTTACAGAACTCTTTATACCGTGACGATTAGGTACATTTTTCAAGTACTGTAAATATCTAAAAGTTATATCTCCTGTACCTCCAGCTGAGTCTAATAATTTACTTCCATGAGTTGGTCCAAGTCTCTGAATGAATATATCTTTCCAAATACGATGAATTCCTAGACTCATAGCATCATTCATCTGATCATAAGAATTTGCTACCTTCTCGAATACAGAATACACTAAAGAAGTTTATAAATCCATTCATAAACATTTATATTAAATGATTATAACAGAATTATTCGTTTGATTAAATATGTAACATCTACCTTCTTTTACTTTCTCGCTTTCTTTAACGGTTTTAAATCCAAAATGTGTTGTCTTCTCATTGTTATTATTTGCAGCAGTTTCTGACAAATACTTTTCACAAGAAAATATTATCTTCTTGTTTTTAAATAAACTTTTAAAAAATCTTCCTTTGTCAATCATTTTAAATTGTTTCAATAATGAAATCTTCAATCATAATCATAACCAGCAAACAATGAAGAATTAATTCTTTGTTTTTCTTTTTGATAAGCAGAACTTTAAAGGTTTACTTTAAAGTTCTATTATTTTCTTCAGATGGCGCGTTGTAAATTCGTTCACCAAATCACATGACAGTCATGTCATGCCTCACTATAGTAAGCAATTCTGCTTCACCATAGTATGCAAGTATTTTTATCCCCACTATTTTAATGCACATCCAAGTCCGTGCAGTTGCTTTAGAAAGAGAACGGGAGATGATCAAGAGAGACAAAACAAAACCAGCAAGCTCTATGTGTAACTGTTTTGTAGATTCATAAAGTAGAAACTATTATCTAAAATGTAGTTTACGGATTTTCGAGTGTTTCAGATGGAGCGCCAAGCAAACGTATGCGCGAATAGAGTGACATCGCAAGTTTGTTAAAGTGAGACAAGCTACATTGGTCGTCGGTGTGACTTGTTTCACTTGTGTCTCTCTGATATCGTGCCCTCTTGTTCACTCACTACTTCCTCTCTTTGTCCAAAACTGTGAGGGCAGCACTGCTTAGCTGTGAAGCGTCAACCAATCAGAGGAGAAACAGTTTCTCTACCTGCTTCATAATTCCAACCCGGTTGTCCCCGCTTTGGCTTACTATGGTGATAACATACAACATATGTAGATACATGCGTTGTATGCACTCCGTTTGTATATGTAGTAGTAATTGCACACTGCATCTATAACCTATTTTATATAGTAAACAAAAATTCAGTTGCTAATTCCTACGTGAATGAAAGATCAATTTTGTTTTATGATGCAAACAAATTTTACTTCTATTACAACAATTCTGTAAAGTATTTGAATATTATACTTTCAATATGAATCTTATATTAATCTTAATCTTAATGTTATTGTTTCAACTTCCCACACAAAAATTTGTTTTCAACAATGCATCGTTTTTTATCTATTTATTTTTAAATTTTTTATTCTGTGTGAAATAAAATTACAATGAAATTGAAATAATTAATATTTATTGTTTGATTATAATCAGTTGCTGTGTTGATTAAAAGTGCGATACGTTTAAGCATCATATTGTATAGAACTACGGAAAATCGATAATTTATTTGACGTCATTGGTGCTGTACGTGTGGTACCTGTTGATTTTCGCTTCAAACTTTCTTGTAGCAAATCTACAGGTAAATCGATGAATTTTATATTTCATTGTTTTTGGCTTTGCCTTTCTGTTAAATTAATAATGCGCTTCATACTGTTCGACTTAATTATATTTAACATGAATATTTTATGAAATCTAACCTACTTACTTTTTATAACGTTATTAACGACATTAATGTTGCATAATGTCATACCATCCACGTATCGTCCGCATTGCATTACATTGCATAAAATATTTATTTTTCATATTTATACATT